GATGAGCCGCCTAGATTGACTAGGTTTCAAACCCCTTCAAATAGTTTATTGTGGTTTTTATATACACACATAAGGGGCATTTTTTTGGTTTTCCGCCATGGGCATCCAAAATCTCAGGACCGGCCCTGGAATTCTAGAGAGTGGGAATATGGAAACGGTTGATTAAATATGTATCCATTATGAAAGTGTGGGGATTAAAATTAAGAAAGAGGTTGGCATGTGAGAAAAATGTGAGACCCATTGCAACAATGTGACAGTATCGTCGTTCGATGCACCCATTATGTTCAGGTGTATAGGGTACGAAGGTGAGATAAGAAATGCCATTAGTTAAAATATTTGGAGTAAGTTTGAGGTATTCCTTGCCATTGTCGGAGAATAATTGAATAATAGGACGATTGAAGAACTTTTCAACTAGAGAAAGTAAACGTTGAAAAGTTGAGGCGGTGTCTGATTTTTGTTTGAGGGGGTATAACCAAATATATTTTGTAAAATGAATAAGGAAAATGACATAGTATTTAAAATTGTCATATGAAAGAATAATAGGAGTCGTCTAAACATCCGTAAATATTAGTTCTAACAAAATAGTAGAAATAAGAGTAGACTTGGAGAAGGGTAGTTTATGACTTTTATTCATATTGCAAGAATTACAGCTATACTTAAATGAAGAAAAATTTAATGGCACTTGACTCCATATGGTTTTAATAATATCATTTGAGAAGTGACCCAAACGGTGATCCCATTGGTGGGAGGAGCAACCATGCAGGAGTGAACAAGAGGAGGTACTGGACTGATGGACTCCCTTCGTAGATGCCACCATTAGTTGGCCCTTGGAGGAGAGTGAGGTCGTCGAGTGATCCTTAATACAAAAAGAAGCATGTATGATTTGAACAAGAGCATTATTTTCCATGCAGAATTGATAAATAGAGAGAATGTTTTGATAAAGATAGTACAAATAACACATTAGATAGTTTAAATAATTTATGAGAAGTAGAGAGTGAAAGAACCAATATGAGAAATCGACAGAGATGAGCCATCACCAATGATGGGATCATCGACGTCGTCATAAGGGCCTTGTAAAGGTAGGTTGGCCAAATCATTCTTGACACGATGAGTAGCAGTTGCTATTAGCCATGAAGAGGAAGGGGGATTAGCAAAATATAGCAACATTAGACTGAGGAGTGGAGCGAGGAACTTGATAACAAGGGATGATGAGGCGAGAGACCCGGGTTGGATTCGGACCAATGGGGAACGTGGGAAAAACTATGTGAAAGAAGAGTTGTTTGAAGACGGGGAACTGAGAAACGACGTGACCCACATGACGACACAATTGACACTTAATGAGATAATGTTTTGACGTGGCGGATGTTGGTGGTGGGGGTTGGGGAAGGGAAGGAGAGGAGTGGTGAATTTGCGAGAGTAGGAACTATTTTGATTAGGATAGTATGAGACAAAATGAATGGAAGAAGGAAATGAAGATGGTTGGGCTTGATTTCTAGAGTAATTTCATGATTGATAAGTTTCTCATGGAGAGCTTCAAAGGTTATAAAGAGAGTCACGAGCATGAACGACATCAATGATAGGTTTGTAGGAATCATAGTCAAGGCCTTTGAGAACTTTGGCTATGATGTCTTCATTGTCCATGGTTTACCCATGATATATGTTTCATCAATACATCCTTTGATATATTGCATGTATTATGTGATGGTTTGGTTGGTTTTAAGAGGGGGTCCAAACGAT